CTTCTTTCCACTGGGCTTCTATTGAATGTAATCAGGCTCATCTCTCCGGTTCATCCTTGCCGGTTGGTTATAGTTCAAATTCAGTGACCACAGAGTCAGTCTTCGGTTCCATATCAATGTCTACAGAAAAGGGCAACTGGCTCACATACTTGCCCGGGACAGTCCTAATTGAAACATAAGAGTGTGTTTGACTTTAGTTTGTTCTTCACTCTCTTCCCATCATTATGGAAGAGTAGTTGCTTTGCTGTATAGCTAAGATTTCTACCCTTCCATTGGGAGTACTTCCTTTGATTCTTCGTATGTTTTCTCCCTAGCCCTAGCAGCCTTTACAGAGTGCTTTCCGGTTGGGTGAGCTACCCTTTTTTAATGATATATGGATCAAGGCCTCGCTGAGCCAGATCATCACGAGCTACTAAAGTAAAGATAAATAAGCTAAAAGCCTCCAGGCATGGGAAGAGGTTGGGAAACCGGCCAGGCAAAAGGCTATCCTGAATCAGATACCATTCTGAGGGGAGGGGAGAGACCCGCAACCAAACAAAGAGGCCTAACTGCAAAGAAAACCAAAAAGAAAGATGTCATCTATGCTCTTGACATCAAGAAAGAGATTCGTTGTTTGATTTGTCCACTGGGACATCTACAAATTAAATCATCAAAGAAGAAGAACAGGCGTTGTCCGTAACCTTTGTTGAAAGAGGAACTGCCTTTACTCGTCAAAGCCAGCATCCCAGATGCCTTCATGACCTATAGACTTGTTATTATGCTTCTGTGGAATCTTTGTCTTATTAACCCCTAAGGGGAAGATCACCACTCTATTAGTGGGACTTCTACCGGTTTATTGGATAGAGTGAGTCCTCTGATTCTCTATATCGATCTACTAGGAAAGCATCGATCTAGCCTCCCACTCATTCTGCTAAAAGGATGTCCTAGAACGGAGAAGTGGAATCAAATGATCCATCTTCATTTTCCCATAGGACACATTGAAAGAATGCTTCCTTATCCTTGTTGCTCGGGGAAGATAAGGTATCCATGCCGGACATCGTTCTTTCTCGGATTCTCTTTCTCGGCCCATCAAGAACTCGACATCGAAGACTCATTGCTCTAGGCTGATGGATTTACTTTCCATCCTGTGGTGAAGACCCATTCCTTTGTTCGTTATATTCTTTTGGTTCTTTCCCTAGCCTACTCTGATTTTCCAAACGGAGCTTTTTGATTTTTCTATTTCGCCCTTGCTTGTCTAACGGGAGCAAAAGGACTCCTACCTTAACTCACCGTAGTTGAAGAAGGAATGCTTGGTAGTGCTAATGGAATGGATTGCCCTAGACATATGTCAAAATATAATATCGATAGAATCAATAATAAAGCTCATTAGAATGAAACATGGCATCCATCTTCAACAAGTTACAGTAAGCGCAGTGGATAGAGTTATTCTCAGGGAGCGGGAACTCATGGAACATAGTGATCTCAAGATATCTGACTTGCTATCTCTTCAAGTCAATCACGATGATGAGGACTCACTCATCTCTATGTGCGGATCATCGTCTGATCCATGCCCTTGGGTTGTTTAAGTAATTACAGATGGATGAGATAGCTACCTTGATTGATTGCTGGGAATAGAGAACCAATCTATCTCTCTTATCTCTCCCGAGGGTAATTAGAAGAAGGAAGCATTGATGAGTTCACTGCGTGTTGGTAGCGAGGATAGAGAGAACAAGAATGAGCAGCCTTCCATGAATAGAACACCAAGGAACCTTTCTGGATCTGCTTACTGCTAGCGAAGAGGAAAAGGAATGCTTGTTGATTGGACTGATGCGAGATAGCTAGATAGAGAATGAAAAAGCCTTAGATGAACTACCAAATATAGGTCTTTCCCCGGATTAAACTCATAGAGATGGATAACAAAGGGTATTGATGTTAATATAATTAGAATGGAATGGAGTCCTACTTTCTTTCCCTCGGCACCAAGCTACGAAGCCAATTGATCTATCTTGGGATGCTTTCCTGTAGATGAAGAATAGGATGGATCGGTCTATGCCCACTCACTCATTCTTTTTTGTTTGAAATTAGCCTGCGGCATGCCTTCTACGCGCTATACCCACTTGATTGAATGGCTTTGCCCTCTTCCTTGGCTTTAATCTTTGTTCCAGTAGAAGAATAATAGGGCGCTTAGCCGGGAAAGAGCTTATATCGCTAATGGTCACCGATCTATGGCATCCTAACCTAGGGAATCTAGGTTCCTAGGACATAAAGGAAATGAGGACTTGTTTTGTTTGTCTATCCAGCATCTCTGTCTCTAGCTCTGGGTTCTTAGTTCGCTAACTAGTGTCAAATAAAGGGTTTAGCACTTCCATTGGTCCATAGAATACCGAATCACTGACAGTCAACAAGACAGACCGATTTCACTCCTTCGATGGAGATTTATCACACTCTATGCACTAGCCCTTTTGTCAATTCATTAGCGGACAGAAGCAGACATCATTCAATAAGAATGTGTGTATGAGTTACGCCCTTCCGAGAAAAAAGGAGAAAGCTTATCTTGGAATCGCTTAGGATATGCATTAGTTGTTGTTCCCTCAATAGACAGATACGATAAAGAAAGATCTCACTGCTGGGAGGTGGAGATGGATAACACCCCAAAACAACTAAAGGCTGACCAGGTCGAAGAGGAAGTAACTCGTAGGATAGGAGTCTCCCTTTCCCTATATATAGTCGGTGAGTGAATAAACAACCACAGGAGATCAACCTTTCTTTACTCCTTCCAGCTGAAAGAGAATCTAGCTAGGTTCGTAGTGTCAAAGACAGGAGGCTCACAGCACTTTACCTTGTGGTTCAACAATCTTGATACCCATCAAAAGCAGTCTGTTTCCTTGAATGACCTTCGAAGGGGCTCATATGCTTTCAAAACGAGATCTTCTATTATATGTAGAGATTCACATAGATAATGTGTCATTGCCTGTAGCCTGTAGAAGGAGTGGAAGGATGGTCTTTCTTTGAGTTCGATAAGCAGTAGCAGTGCGTGAGAAAAAGGAACGAGGTCACAGAGCCAAAGCATTTTCACATTTGATGTCATTTCCACTCTCATCAATCAAATGATTCAAATAATATTGTATATAATATAGAAGGGTGTATGGGGATGAGCAGAAAGACAGAACACCCATACATCATCTTCATCCCATGCTTGGCCCATCTAGGGGGCATCATCAGAGGAAAGGAAGAACGGGTGTAGCACCTTTCCCTTGGTCAATCAAATTCGGATACCAACTGAGTCCTTTCCGCTCTCTGTAGGGCAAGCTCTAGCTATAGTAGTTAAGTTTTCAAAGCTTCTGACTGTTTCATTCCCATCCGAGTGAGTTCAGATGGATCGAGTAATTACATAATATAAGAAAGCAGCCAACCAGCCGCTCTTCTCTGGTTGTTCGTACATGTCTGGTGTTGAGTTCAGATTTAGTGACCAGTGCTTGTTAGGAAAATGTTGTCTTTCTTTGAATGGCTGACCAGACTAAGCGCTTCACAATGTGCCTAGTGATAGTGTTTGATTTCCGTGCCTGTCTACAGAACAGGAACGAGGTCGTTAAGAAGGTTTCAATCAGGTGTCTATCCCCACCTCAATCGGTTCGAGATTCAACATATACCGTGCTTCGCCTCCAATTTAAGTAAGATCTCCTCGTTGGTCGTATGACCAATACCCCAGTCACTTCCATTGGATCCTGACGTACATATACCAGAGGGGTTTCGATTCCCTTTATACGCGATGTGGCAGAATGATTCAACGACGAGATATGCTTATTTCAATATTCCAAGACATACGATTGAATGATCTTTTTTCAAAGGAAGAATTAAGGGCTCTTTTCATGGGTATCTACCTTAGAATTATTGGTAGCTACGTATAGATCTTATTTTCTTGAAATAAAAAATTGAATAGTTACCGGGATTCATATTTTGATTTTTTAGAAAACGTTTATAAATCAAATAGGGAGGGGGCTGTTTCACAGGAATTCAGAATAAGCTGAGTGTTAGGGGTTACTCTAAATCCTATCGATAAAAAACCCCCGACCTTTCCCTCCCCACCAAAAATCGAACGAAGTAACACATTTAACAGGCCCCAGCAAAGCGGGAGCTCGAACAAAGAAATGCTCCCTAGGACGATTTCGATGTGCCTTACTTTCTTTCTTATCTTTCTTTTTCCCATGCATCCTTTCTTTTCTTGATTGGTAAACCCAACCAGCGATTTACAATAAACAAGTCTTTGCTAAAAGAAAGCAAAGCGGAACGGAACTGCATCATAAACAATAAATGAACTTCAAATTTGGGGAGAAAACCTTCATTTTTACTTTTTTTCGATTGGATTCGTGGTCGTTAGTTTTGGGTTTTTTATTTGGGGCCACAAACTGATTTTCCCAACTATAGAAAAGGGTTATTTAGTCAATCCCTTGTGCGTACTGGCCCAACTTGCATGTATTTTATTGATATTTAGATACCCATCAGCACCCGCTAGGCTAAGAATCTTTCTCCTTCTTTCCTTTATGTTGAGCCTTTTATCCTGTCTTTACCTACATGGTGTAGACGGGGGTTTGATCTTTGTCTTTCTCCTTTTCTCCATCCTGGTTATCTCATATTCCCCTTTTGACTACGCGCTCTTTTTTTCTTTTTGTAGGATATTTCCTAGATCAGGGACAGGCGAGGTGGGGGTTCTACTTATCCTTTCACTTATTATGATGTTTCATGCTATACTTTTGTTTAGAAAGGGTCAGTCCAGTGTGACCTCTAAGCACCTCTTATATGTCGTCCGTTTGATTTCTGTTCAAGCCTTGTTTGGTTTTTTTCACTTCGGTAAAGTCTATTTTGCAGACCGTGTTAAGCTAGCCGGCCTTTTGTTTGGCGCGTGCATAATCTATATTTGCTTTGCAAAGCACACTACGCGGGGGTATTCCGTGGATTTTATCATATATTATATTATAAGAATGAGTATTGGCATTATCTTATACCCAACTGAAAAAGCAACCTTATGGGGAATCCCCCCCGGGGTTGTAATCTTTTCTTTGATGCATGTCTCGGGCTTTTGCGGCTTGTGGTTTATAAGTTGTAGCCTCGGCCTGCCTGCCAACAAACAGCAAGCCTTAACTAGTATTTTATTCGGTGTTATATTTTTTTTGTGGCCAACCTACCCGCGCTAGAGAGGCTTGAAAGGTGGATCGAGAGAATCGACCTTCTCCTTTTATTATTGGGTATGTATCTCCTATTTGAATAAGAATCATGAGTAGGGGTGCTTTGGATCGGGAGTAATCACTAGTGATAGGGAAAAAAATAGGGAGGAAGGACAAAGGAAAGAGCGATGCCTACATTAAATCAATTGATTCGTCATGGTAGAGAAGAAAAACGGTGCACGGACCGTACTCGAGCTTCGAATCAATGTCCCCTGAAGCAAGGAGTACGCCCGCGTGTTTCAACGAGAACACCGAAAAAACCAAATTCAGCTCCAGGTAAGATAGCCAAACTATGATTGAGCAATCGACATGATATATTTGCTCACATTCCAGGCGAAGGTCATAATTCGCAGGAACATTCTATGGTCTTAATAAGAGGAGGTAGAGTTAAAGATTTGCCAGGTTTTAAATCCCATTGTATTCGAGGAGTCAAGGATTTGTTGGGAATTCCGGATCAAAGAAGAGGCAGATCAAAATATGGTGCAGAAAAACCCAAATCGATATGAATGGAGGATGCCTCTAGAACTGATTTTTCTCGGTCAGGAGAGGTACGAAGTCACTCGAATTATAATTCTTTAGAATGGAGTATGTGAGTCTTTTTTGAAAACTGAGATTAGAGTGAGCTCTATCAGTCCAATAGAAAGACAAGCCATACAAGGAAAGGAAAGGAAGCCATAGAGGCAAGTCTAAGTGCAGTTCCTATTGAGTCAGATCTCGCTAATATGGGCATTGGGGGATCCCTTTTATATGATATAGATATTATATAGTATGATTGTAGGCATCTTTCTTCAAGTCTCCTACTCGTACATTAACAAGGGAAGTTGTCCTTCAAAGAGCTGAACAGTCAAGGAATCAGTCCCAACATCATCTACGTTAACAAAGGATACTGTAACAAGAAAAGTGCTTATTCCACCAGCCAGCAGCTCCTTCTTTCACAACCTAGTCTGGCTATCTTCCTGTGACTAGTATCCTTACTGAGGGTATTACCCCAACAGCGACAACTCTCACTACAGTTATGAAATCTCGACGCGCTACCACCGCTTTATTTAAGAAAAAACTCAACTAGAGTTGGAAATCAGAGGAAAACTGATCGTTGTTGAGCTTGCCGTTAAAGAGTCAAATGTTGATTATATAGCTGCTCTGATTCATTCACCGGCCAAGAATGAGAAGGAAGTCTTTTATTACGAACAAGCGCTAAAGAAGGGGGGGATCTCTCCTAAAAGAAAGAATTGACCTCGAGCTTGTCCTACTTATTCTTATTTTCCCGTTCCTGACCCTCGGATCAGTTTGCAAATCGAATCCCACGGGTACTTAACTAAAAAAAGGATCCGACTTTATAAGGCTTCTCGAACTAGACCATAATCTTTGAAGCTCTATGGGAAGACTTACTCTAGGTACACAGAAAGACCAAGCTAAGCCAATCTCACGTCGAAACAGGGAAATTTTAGCCCTTGAAAGCAACCCACTTCGGAGTCTCTCACAGGAGAAGGACTGACCTTTTCTCTCATTCCTATCGAGAAGACTAAGTCAGGGCAAGCTCTTACTTAGAGAGAGTTAGTTGGTAGGGTCACTCTAAGATCAATAAATCTTGAGTCACAAGAGAGATTCTCCAGACGAACGCCCGTCAGGTTACAACTTACATTGGTGAATCGGACCAACACCTATCTTACACCAACAAGGAGAAGGAGTCGCTTTTGTTACGCAGTTCGAAAGTTTAAGCCTTCCTACATATGCGGGCCCACCGGTTTAGTTTAAAGAGTCCTCTATTTGGACTCCCCCTAAACCTCTGTCTGGCCTAGGGAAGTTCTCTAAGCTCGAGAGCTCTTATCTCCTCACAGCGTAAGCAGCTCACCTCTCCCCAGAAAGAAATCAAAGCAAGCAAACTAACAAAGAGAAAGTCTCATGGTACGTCTACTAGTCCCTTTGATTCCCAATCGTTCACGGCGATAATTAAAAAATATCGTAGGCCGCCTTTTGCCCCGAATTTTCATTTACCAAGGAATCACGGTTTGTGGAAAGCTCCTCCAAAACCTTCACTATTTTAAGTCATTTTTCCGGGGAGTCCGCCGCTTCCCCTTATTTATGCCTTTTGCTGCTCCACAATGCTCTCTCCAAAATGAAAGTTAAAGAAGCCCGCATACCCACTCTTCTTTCCCCCTCATTGTTGGGGGCCTCGTCCTCGAGGACTACACCTTTAAAAAGGATAAACTTAGAAAAAAATAGAATAAAAAAGGCCATCATTAATGCGAACAAGGAAATAGCCTCGGTTAAAGCAAAGCCCAGGATTGCATATCCGAATAACTGTTTTGTCAATGATGGATTTCTTGCCACAGAATGAATTAATGAACTGAATACGTTTCCAATACCTACAGCATCTCCCGCTGAAGAAATTGTAGCAGCTCCGACACCTATTGATTTTGCACCTTCTAAAATCTCGAATGGAGAAAAACTTATCACGCTCTTTCATTCATGATTTTTTGTTCTCGACGCTTCAAAACCTCGTTCCTTTTCTCTTGGACATCTCACTTGAAATGCAATAAATGCATTCATTCTTTTTAGTAAAAGAAAGTCTCTCACGGATATCCTATTTGTAGATATGGGTCTGTAATTCTATTATTATATTATAATAGGGTGGTAATAGTTCCTATATTTACCTATCGAACAACAAGTCTTAATGTATCATCGACTTGATACTACCAGCTTAGATACATGTACCGGATGAGGCGGAAACCCATACTAAAAATCAGAAAGGAAGACCCATGCATCAATCAAGATCTCTATCTATAATATAACATACCTCAGGTTGGATTCAACCACTTAGGATGATGATCTACAAAATCAAACCCCATGACTTTATGCTCTGCCAGTCTTCCCCTCTTCTAGCTATTCCCATGCGTCGATCAATCATCTTCAACAAAATTACCTGATAAGGTATGCACCAAGGATCCATTAGATTAAACTAAGTGCATGATAGAACGATTCTTATATCCTTTGAATGTGACCACTGGTTAGATTATGATTATGTAAATGGATCCCCATTAAGTCGGGCATATGGACAATGCTTTAATGGATCACCCCTGATGCCTGATGGGAAAAATAAAAACATGAGCCCAATATGGTACCTCATAGGGAAATCATTGTACTTAGGGTCACTCTCCCATCTGTTATCTTCATTGTATCGATTCAGTCTGGTCGATCAGGAGAGCGAGTGCGAGAGATATTGAAATAGCTATGCCCAACCTATCTATATGTGCTTGTTGAATCAATTGTATTCCGATAGCGCAGCAACTCGTGTTGTTTATTCCTTTCTTAATCCAGCATCCAGTAGGTCGCTGAATATGGGCATGCCCGAAAGCAAAAAAGGCTATCTGAGATACTCTTTGGTTCCCTCCCAAGCAAGGCTAGAATTAAAGGAGGAACTCCCGACTCAAATAGGTGTGATATCAAAGTGGCCTCAATTGTCCAATATCTTCTCTTATGCTATTATTTCATCGAGTACTCAAAACAAGATGAACAAGCGAGAGGAAAGAACCTCACATAAGCAAGCAGTTAGGTCTACTCGCTTTTGGCTTGGGCTTTGCGAATGGAACTTGCATTCTCGAAAAACAGGGCTCGTTCACTTGGCTTCTCACTTCGGAATGCTAGAGGAATGGTTGACCTAACGCATGAACCAACTATCTGAGATTCTGCCTTCCGCTTTGAAAACATTGGGAAGGGGTCGGGCTTTCAGCTGATTCAAAAGGGATCGTCAAGCCAAGCAAAGATTCGATTGTCGGTCTTTAATGCAATAGGTCGGAAGGCAACCAAAGGAAAGATTCGACAGGGACTTGAGCTTACTTTTCTGATTCTACATGCAAGCGGGAAGGTCAAGTGGGTTTTGTTATATACACAATGTCATGGATGGATTAAATAATGGAAGGGAAGGGCTTATGAACCGGGAAGTTACCCCTTCCTTGGTAGGGGGCATCAACATAGCTCTTGTCGGGTAGAGAATACGACGTCACTGATGACTTTCCTGCTTGACTTCCCGCTACACCCCTTAGCCATCTCTTTTCTTTAGCATCCTAGAAAACACTCCTTATCCTTAGGTCGAGAGAAGGCATTGGTATGTGTTCTTTCTTTTTCCTGCAAGGGAGTAAGAAATTTTCTTTTTCGTCCTTATTTTTATTGCATTTAGTGGAAGTGTGGAATTTATTTACCAACTTTCGTCCAATTGCCTCCAGTTGCAGCCTTCCAGTCTTATATATAAGTAGTCCAATCCCCTTGTTATCGTATAGCGAAGACTAAGAATGTAGAAGGTATGGAATGATTACAGAATGGCTCAAGCAAAAAAGTCTTGCCCGAACACTCACTGCAAAGACAATTAACCAATCTTAATAAGAAGGGATTGGATCAAGAAAAGGAAATGGGACCTTAACTTATTAAGAGGCTAGGCAAGGACCTTCAATTAATCAAAGATAAATCAGTCCTTGATGGATTCCCTTCCTCTTCTATCCTCAGTACTAGAGAGAAACTGTGATATGGTGGCAGAACCGACTGTTTGAAATACTGGTTTGCATTTTTCATTTTGTGTTCGCAAAATGTCGCGGTAAGCAAGAGTCGCCACCGACTTTTATTTCACTTAATCGGAAAGGAAAAAAGTACAGAAAAAATCCTTTTTCGAGATATTCTGAGTACGGGGGGTAGATTATAGAAAGGGAAGGTGTTAGCACCCGTTCTATCCATGGTTTTCCATGGGATCTTAGGTACTTGCTCATCTTTTGAAAATTTCTTGTGTATGTGCTTTGTTTTTTTGAAAAGTTTGACTTCGTGATAACCCTTGTATCAGTCCTCAAAGGTGTGACGAAGTTGTTTTGAAATTTTGTTTGAAAAGTGTAAGTGTGAAAAGTTTGATTTGAGCAAGTACCTACTAGCATCTACCTAATTCTCTAATTTAATTTTAATTGTGAAAATAAATTAAGGTTTCCCTAAGTTAAACTAAATTATATCAAACAAACTAAAATAAAAATGTCTAATTATAATTTTTTTTTATTATTGATTTTATGATTTTTATGAAAAAATGAATTAATTTGTGAATCAAAATAAATAATGAAAATCAAAAGAATAAAAATAAAGAAAAGAAATAATAAAAGAAAAGTAAATGGGCCTGGATGTTGTTGCTGAAAAAAGGGGGTGAAAAACTTAATTTCTGGGCCCAAGTGGACAAAAGCCTGTTTGACTTCGTTGGATCCAGTGCACACATTGACTGGAGGCACATGATGGACCTTCAAGGGAGAAGCCTTGGATCTGGGGAATTGATGAATGGGACGGCCAGATCTTGAGTTGCTTGGTGGGCGCTTGGATGTGAGGTACACCTGATCATTTATTGAAAAATAACATGAAGCAAATATGGGACCTGGGGATCGAACCCAGGTCCTTAGGAATTTTCCAAGACACGTTTAGCATCTGAGCTGCATGCGTTACTTGTATATATAATAATAATAATAATAAACAAAATATCAAACACTATGGTTAAGTATGAAAAAAGCGCGAAATTTCAAACTGCCCAACTAGGGGGTGCCACGCCTCCATCTTCTTCCTCCCTACCGTCGCTTTAGGCTATACACCTTTACCTACAGACAATGCACTGTAGCTACAAACCTGTAACTTTCAATCATCAAGAAAACACATGCTAAATGAATTCTAATTACATGGTTCTGTTCGCCTTGAACCCACGAACACTATGGTACTACTTTCTTGGACCAATTTTACTGATACAGAGAAACCCTAAAATATAAGAGCAAACCTTAACAATGGCATCTTCATGTACAAGCGTTAGAAATACAATTAAATGGTATCAAAAGCTTGCAAACTCAAAGACAAACACGAATATATCATTAAAATATGCAATGGGTGAGTGAATCAATGAACTGAATTTGAATTTGGAGGCATATCGTGATACCTCTATCTTGTAATTCCAAACGTGGAAAGGATTGAATCTGATTGGAAAATGCTCCTGGAATGTCCAGCAACCTATTGGCAACCTGAGAATGGCACGAATATACCTCTAACACAGAAATTGGATCACCACTTTTCTTGCAATTTTTGAGTTTTTCTTTCACCTCTGCACGGCTGCCTCTCACCCCTATAGGCCTCGGATATGTTCCATATATATTAGAGAATGTATTAGGATTGTAAAACTGATCACATCTTTGGAAGTTTTTCAAGATTTTATTTTGTTTTCATAGCATATGTAAACCTTCCAAATTTGCTCAAATCCAATCTTTTCCAACCACATTGGACTTGCACGATTTGATCTTCATTTGACAGCATATAATATCTTCTTTCAATGCACAAAATCATCCCTAAAAGGCAATACATAATTTATTAGGATTTATTTGATTTTATTTGAAATTTAAATGAATAAAAATCAAAATAAATTAAATAAATGAGTAAATAAAGTATGAAGGGTCCCATAGGTCGTGGACTATGTTAGGAATGAGAAGCAAGCATAAAAAGTTGGGCCCATTTAGCAAAAAAATGCAAATTTGAGCATGTTTGACTTTTGGCAATTTTGCAAAAAAGGTCAACTTGGCCAATGCATAACTCTCTCAATTTTGACCCTAGAGAGGTGTTCTTGGACTTTTTAGAAAGCTTAGGATATCCTATAAGCAAAAATTTTGGTCTCATCTCAATTGAGTCTTCCATGTTCATGTATGAAGCTTTGACCCAAAAGGTGTTTTTTGTTGACTTTTCAAAATGACCTATAATGTCCAAATTCATATCTTTTTATGAGTGCATATTTTGAACTTGGGAGATGAAGATGAAATTTAGGTAATTGAATCCTCTTCAAAATGAGCTTTGGATGGGTCATTTTTTATAAAGTATGAGAAAGTTATGCTTGGTCAAAGTTGAGTTGACTTTTTCTACAAAACCCTAATTTAGCAACTTTTGGGTTTTGATGAATTGTGAGCAATCCTTGACGAATCATGGTCAAACCTTAATTAAATGATGAATGATACTTCAAAAATGATGATGTTGACCAAAAATCTTGAAGTTTGACTGTATGTGGGCCCCAGTTGACTTTTGACCTAGCACAGTCGATTTCTAGGTATTTGAGCAATTGACTGAGCAAACTTCCTCTGCAAGGCTTGAAACTTGACATGGATGATCTTGAGAACATATTAGGACAATGGTGAGAATTTTGGATCCTTTGGACTCAAGCATCTTGATGCAAAATGAAACCCTAATTTGAGGTAGACTTCCTTAGGAGAGAGTTTGTCTGGACAACTCTTGGACCTCCTTGAGCAATTTGAGGACCTCTCTTGACATGTATTGAGAAATATGAGAGGTAAAATTTTGGGGTACAACAACTGCCCCTGTTCAGTCTTCTTAAACCTGAGGATGTAGATTGGCTTGTCTGCCTTTCGTGATCTGAAGGTGGAAGATGATTGAATACTAGAGTGCCCAGAAATTTGCACTCGCATGAAGTGATGCTTGATTTGTGATATCGGGAATGGGCTTATAGATGCCATTCGGAAGTTTCTAGAGAATCGCCATGGATGGGCTTAGAGACGCCATCTGAAGCAGTGTCGATCCCACAAGAGATTCCTTTGCGAGAACCCGTATACCGGTTGTTGAGGAGGACTTCGTTGGGGAACGTCGGTCTCTATTTTGAGAGAAATAGAGTTTTAGGAGCTCCAGTTGTCCGTTACTCTACTGGGGGAATAATTCTGGTTTGGGAAACGGAAATAAACTGTGTGTTTGGTCAGGGTACATGCCGCACTGCGACTTACTGGGGATATGTGAAATTAATTGTGTTTGATGGGGTCCCGGTCTTACAGTGTTGTGGACTGTTATATGGGAATAAGGGAGACCAAACCCGGGTAGTAAGGTTAGGAGAAGGAACCTGGACAGTAGGGTTACTTC